TTTATACAGGATGAACTATAAATAATACTACGAGAAAAAAAAATTGAAATATCTATATAAAATTCAACAGTTAAACTAACCCTATTCTGAAAATTTACTGTATATGGATCAATGTAATGTCATTGATAAATATTCTCTTAGATAACCACTGAAAATTATCTTAGATAGGTATAGATATTTTTTTCTTACTTGATAAAAGGAACAATTTCTTTACTAAGCTCAATAATAGTTCTTACGAGGAGACCGTTTCAAGTGATAAATCATTTTCCAGTTCAGATTCTATGCATCAGGTAGACTACAGTGAACTATGGCAAGGACCAAAAGGATATATGGCCACTGACCCTTTTTCCAAAATTATAACCATTTCATTGGAATTTTAGGCCAAGGAATGGTATAGACAAATTAATTAAGGGACGATATATCCCCAGAGAGCAGTCTGCTTGTAACTAGAATATGATGAAGACTTGAGTTCACAAGAATGTTTCATTCGCGAGATATTGAATTTCCAAAAAATCTGAGATTCTCACAGAATGTAAACAATTTTTGAAAATTCAATATCTTCTAAAGAATTCATTATTTTGAGCTCAAAATTTCAGAATGTTCTATTAATAAGTAGATCTATCTGTGAGCAAATTTTTGAAATCGAAATGCTATCATTCGATTTGTTAGTGTATATCATGTCATAATCTAGAATTTTGAAAGGAAGATCTAACGACACTTATCCTATTCAGACGTTTCATATTTCACTGGTATGTACCTTATGCATATAGTCCAAACTCAGACACGATTTATCACTTCAAACAGTTCTCTCGCTAGTAAAAGTATTTACATTGTTCATATGAGCAAAACAAACTTTGGATACACTTGTATCATTAATTAGAAAATGAGACCTTTTAAATGAATCGAGGCGGGGATATTTCAATTTTTTTTTTATCATTATATTATTTATAGTTCATGCTGTAACTTGTTATTTTATTTTATCATTGATTTTAGCTCCATATAATTCAATAATTCTTTGCAATCAAATACTAGCAAAATTATATTCGAAAATAGTTGATTATATTCATAGTGAACTTCGAGCTGCATTTGAATTGACACATCTATTTGAAAATTATGCATTATCATTACCAGGTTTATATTGATGAAAGAAAAAAAAAAGCATTTGATTGTTTGAATTTTTTTAAAATAGAATCAACTGATCTTCGAGCAATATCTGAAGTAAATTCATTTAATTTCTTTAAATCTACAATTCATTATGGACCAAATTTTGCTTTTGCTGTTCGTATAATAAAAAAAAAATATTTGGTTTTTATTTTTAATAATTTCTTTTTTTTTGAAAATATTTAGGTAACATTAACACATAATAATAATAGTAATAATAATAATAATAATAATACTAATAATAATAATAATAATAATAATCAAAATCAACAAGATTTAAATTCAAATCTTGGATGGACATTTGATTTACGTTTTACAACAATAAATCATAAATTTTTAACAACGGCTCATCAAATATTAAATGGAAAATTAATTCACTTTTTAAATCGAACACGTTCATTAAAACAATTTATTCGAGTAAAGATGAATAATTTCTTTTGTTTTTAATATTTTTTTATTTTCTTTAGTTATTACATATGACAGCTATTCCAATATCTTCCATAGCTCGATTAAATTGTTTCAATCGTCCAATTGTTTTTCTTAATCAAGTTAGTTTTAAAATAATAAATTCTATCTGTTCTTGTTTTTTGAGTCAGCCATAGATGACAAGAGCATCTCTTCTAATTTCAATAAGTTTTTTGCCTATAGATACTACATAGTGCTCTAATAAAAATTCCTACAAAGGATTTCGATTCCTATTACTTACTCTCGTCTTTTTCTTTTGTTTTTTTTTGATTAATTTGAGATATTTTTATAGGGTTCATGTATTCAATCAATACTTACATTAGTTCCTTATACTGAATTTCGATGGCGTCTTATTTTTGGTCAAATATTTGCACTTGATATTCAAATATGTGGGCCTAATCTAATACTTATACGTGATGGCGCATACAGTGTACAATTAAACAGTGTATTACCGGAACTTTCACCAATACCTAGACTTAAAGTAAAAGTTTTTTCTTCTTTTTTTTCTAGTAAAAAAAAAATTAAAAACTAAAATATTTCTTCATAGGAATTTTTATCTAAATATGCTGATGATCGAGGTTTAACATTTGAATTTACACATATAACAGATCGTTTTCGTGATCGAGATTTTATTTTACCTGAATTACAATTACCTCCACCATCATTTTCAATATCATCATCAACAACAACAATAACAAATCCTCCATCAAATCGCCCATTAACTTCAGGAAATGCACCAACTCCACATTTATTACATCCAGTTGGAACACCCGGTTCATCACTTAATCCATTAACACCAGCTAGTGTTGGTCCAAGTAGTCAATCTCAACAACAAGCAAATTCACCATCACAACCAATAATTGCACCAAGTCCCGGTTTTATGAGTAATGGTTCACCATTGATGATGCCAACAATAGGTTCACCAATGACAAATAATACTACAACAACACAATTAACAGCTCCATCACCAATGGGTATAACTACACAATCACCAGGAACTATTTATGGTATATTTTTAATTTTTTTGTTTTTTATATGAAAGTCTTTTGTTTTTTTTGTATGTTTTAGAAATGCCATATATAAGTCCAGCAGCTCGAGCATCTGGTTCATCATTTCCAGGTTCATTTCTTGGTCCATCACCTGGTACACCTGCAAATACAACAATGACATCTGTAGCTACTCCATTAAATATTCGATCGGATGATATTAGTATAATAATAAAATTCTTTCTTATTTCTTATTTAAAAATTTTTGTTTTTGTAGATAATAAACAATCATCAACATTACATAGTTATAATCGATATTTATATACAAAACATTATCCTGTTTATATAAGTCAACAAACATTTTTTCGAATGCTTTTTACACCAGATAGACATCAATGGTCAAAATTTGAATCATTTCTTGCATCATCAGTTCTTGTTAAACATTTTTCACGAGCTGTTTCTGAACCATATGATTCAAATAATCCAACAGTAATTTAAAAAATAAAAATTCAGTTTTTTATGTTTTAATTTTTCTAAATATCGATATTTAGGTTCGTGCTGTACCAAATGAACAAGATACATATAGAATAGAACATTTATCATTACAAATAGCATTTGTATTTGATATTAATACAGCAACATATAGAATTTATTGTACATCATTAATGGATTCATCATCTCAACAACAACAACAACAACAATCTAATTTTGGTTGGTCACCAGATGAACTTCAAACAATGGAATTATTTTTTAATGAAAATTTTTTTCCTTCATCAATATTATCAAATTCACAAAATCAAATAATTATGCCAACAATGGATATATTATCATTATCAGCAGCACAAAATAGACATACAGCCATGGGAGCATTTGAAAAAATGCTTGCACATATTCATCCACGTGTATTACGTGATCTTGTAAAAATTATTCGACTTGAACAGGTAAATTAATTAATAGTTTATTGGTTTGTAATAGAGAAAAAAAAATTTATAATGTTTGTTACTTTTCAAACATATGAATTTAAGTCAGTAAAATAATATTATTTGTTTTTTCTGTTTTGCTCTGTCATTGTATTTCTATAAAATTATAGATCATGATTATTTTAATATGGTTAGATAGAACATTGATATCTCTATTGAATCGTATAATTTTCATTTCATTTATCTTGTCTCTTGCCGAAAAATTCGATCAACTTCGATTTTTTTCTTCTTAAAAATGCTTTTCTCCATGATATCTAGCCATCTCTGAGCAAGAAAATTACATGTCCATCTGCCATTATGTATATCAAAATCTAATAACATGTTTATTTCATATCAATTTTATTTGTAGAAAATAATTTTTTACATAAATTTAATGATTAAAAATAAATTTATAAAATTATATGTATTGACTTTTTTCTTAGAATCCTGAAAATCATCATTTATGGCGAGCACGTTGGTGTTTAACAATACCACAAGGAAATGGTTTTATACAAGTTGGTCATCCAGCAATATCTTTTCAACCTGGTCAAGCATCTGTGTTTCTTGTATGTTTTAATTTTTATTATTTATGATAATATATATAATATTGAAATATTTTTTGTAGTTTCAGTTTATTCCTCGATTAAATCGAAATGAATTTCAAATGTCTAGTAATATAAATACATTATCATTTATTGTTCCATTAACACATGATACAACAACAAATCAAACAACATTATGGGATAGAATTAATAAACAACCATTAATGGGTAATGAACATAAATATAACAATGTTATGAAAATTCTTAATAATTCACGTGAAACAACAACTAAATGTATGTTAATTTTTTTACATAAAATGAATTTTTCTTTTGTTATTATTCTAGATGAATGTTCATTATTTCCATCGATTGTTGAATTAATAAGTTATTTACAAGTTTCACCAATATCTAATTATCCATCTTGATAAATCTTTTTTTTTTATCAATTTGTATATTTCATATGAAGGAAAAAAAAGGCAAAGATAAATAAGCAGAACATTATTGTATAAACTCTTAAATTCTATTCAAGACAAAATGGAACAAAAACAAATAAGAAAATCATTGTGTGTGTTCATTTATGTGTAAAATTATTTATTATTAGCTTTCGTAAATATTATTATCAAAGCGGCATTAAATAAAATATATATGATTATTTTCCGTCGTTTCATCTAAAATTATATTCATTCATTTTGTTGTTGTTGTTCTTTGTTCTTATTTAAAAAGAAAAGTATCAGGTTTCGATGTCTTTTTGTTTTTTTTCTTTTTGCTATAAAAAGTTTAAGAAAAAAAAACAAATCAATGAATTTAACTTGTATAAGTGAAATTAAGATTTTTGTCTGTCCAACTTGTTTTTTTTTTTAAGATTGTCTTTTTTGTTCTTTTGTTTGATGAAAAAATTATTAAAACGTATTCAATTAATTCATCGAACAAATGATGGAAAATATAAAAAATTTTGGCAAAATATTGATTTTAATAAAATGTTTACACTTGAACATGTTTGGAATGATATAAATCAACAATTTATTTTAGGATCATCAAATAATAAATATAAATTTTATTGTTATAAAACAAATAAATTATTACCAACATGGTATCATGTTAATTTATTGAATGATAATGATCAAATATTGATTGATGAAAGGTATTTTAAAAAAAATGAAAAGATGTTAGAGATGTAGACATCTGTATGCATGTATTTTGTCAGGAATATTAATTAGAGACTGGAGTCTTAACCCAATTGCTCAAGTATAAACGAAATCTATATTACTTTTACGCTTCATAATTTTATAATGGACAAGCTTTGCTGAATCAGACAATTACATATCATGTTTCAGTTATTCATGTTAATAATTTCATGAAAATTCATAAATCCTTTTTAGAATTGTGGCGATTTTACTTTGACCATTGGTATGAAGATAGAACCATTTGCTACTTTTTGTAGATGATAATTCGAGTAATACTTCAATGAATCAAACATGAAGTCTTAGAGAAGATTTTCTTGTCGTTCGACATAATTTTACTTACAAACTTCAGAAACGAATATTCTACTATAAATTTCGACCAAAGAAAATATATAAATTGAACTGTAGCTCCATGTAAACCAATCAATAGATGTTATTCATTATACTTCTTGGCAATGTATGTGCAAGTCGTTTTTCATATCTCTTAAGAGATCTCTAGCTTGTGAATAAAAACGTTGAATTATTATAACATTTATACTGATAGAATTTTTATTAATTCAGAACCAAACAGATTGGTTTCACTCATTTCTGCATGTCCTATATTCAGCAAAAAAAAGTTGATTCGTTTTTTAAGTGAAAATTTTAGAAATCATCAAACTTTAATGTTAAGACAATTTTCAAATCAAGTTTTTTGTTATCGAATAGTTTGATTAAGACAATCCGAATTTATAGAGACTTCATTTATATTTAATCACAAATTAAAACGATCATAAAACTATGTTTCTATGATATTATTTAGTGCACAAACAAATAAACCAACAGTAATATCTACACCAACTAAAGCTGAATGTTTTAAAAATATATCGAAAAAGAAACAATTAAAAGTATCTATTACAAATCGATCATTTATCATTACCAATAAATATTCAATACCGAATACCTTCTATGAACAATGGGAAGAAGGTAAAATGCACAAAAATACAAACAATTGTCGGATGATATTGTAAATGATTGTTCTTTTTTTTTTTGCTTGTTTTTGTTCATTACTTCTTATTAAAATGAATTGATCTAATTTAGTTCTATTTCAGATTATATATAAGTTATGTTTTTTCGTGATAAAGTAGCCAAAGTATCTCTAAGAGATATGCTCGAAATTCAAGAGCGTCTCGGAACGAAAAAGTAATAGACAAAAAAATTAACAAATTCGATTTTTTAATTCTTAGAATTATTTTTTTTAAAATTAGTTTCACAAAAGCTTTACAAAATGATGAAGAAGTTGAGAAAGATAAAGATGATGATAATGAACAAACAATAAATGAAACTAAAAAATCAACAACTCTAAATAAAAAAATATTGAATCAACCAATATCAAAATCAGAGTAAATCATAATTGTTTCGTTGATGTTTGTTTATTTTAAATAATATGTTTAATAAATAGACCTATTGAAATGTCATCAAAACGACGACCATCAAAACGTGATCAAGTTCCTGTTCATATGCGTGGTAAAAAAAGAATTGTTGATCCACGTTTTAATGAACAATTTGGTGATTATGATGCTAAAGAATTTCGACAATCTTATCATTTTATTACGGATATGCGACGAAAAGAATTAAATGTAAAATATTTATTTATTTTATTTTTTACGATTATTTAATTTAATTTAATTTAATTTAGGAACTTAAAAAACAATTGAAAGCATGTCAAGATCCAAATGAAAAAATGAAATTGAAAACAGTCATTAATCGTCTTGTATGTTCTTATCATCTTACATTTACAGTAGTTCAGTAAATCTTAGTCTCAAGCAGTAACTTGAGGTTGATAGACTTTAATGTAAAAGGAGATTATGAAGAAAACATTGATTTTTTCCTTAGGATCCAAAAAAATACTTTTTTAAAATACTTTTCTGGTTTTCAACTATTTAAATACGTTAATCCCCATCCTCTTATTAACAAATAACGGTTCGCATGTCTATATTGTGTCATAGATAGGGTACTCCAATCTGCTCTAATTTTGAGGTGCGGGAAGCCTTCATTGTCTGGGATGATCTTAACATGAGTTTCTGCCTAGTCGATGACTGCAATTGTGAAATCTTCAACGAAAACTTGATTAGAGCAGGTGAGAAAATCCTAAAACAAATGGTTAAAATTACTGGGAGATATGGATCATTTTTCGATGATTTCTATCAACTTTCATCTGGAGATTACTTCATAAATCAGACAAACGAAAACCATTTGACATGATATGTGCATTGGTGACAAAGGCAATATTGAACTCTCGAACAAGTAGTCTGACATAATGAGATTTGTTTTCGATATTGAAATATTTTCGTTTGAAGAAAAAATCTATGTTGATCTTCTAACTTCTCCATATGAAGATCGATCAAGCCTTGATTAGTTCTTGTGATTAGAGTTCCATACGCTCTATTTGGTGCCAAACTATAAGACTAAGCGATAGAATTTCAGATACTTTTTACCTGACAATGGGACTTTTTGCGACTACTATATTTTCTTAATTTAATATATTGAATTATTTTTTTTGTTCTTTATCAATAGAAATCTCAAGTTAAAAATGTCGATGATTTAGATCGAGTTGAAAAAATTTCTAAAGATATACAAGAAAAAAGTGAACAACTTGCTAATGATGGTGAATCTACACCGTATATAACTAAAGGTAAATATTGAATCAATTGATTGATTTAAATATATATATATATATATATATATATATTCATTTATATTTAATAGAAGTTCGTAAAGTAATGAAATTAGCAACGACTTATACAGATTTAAAGAATACAGGACGAATTGATGCTTATTTAAGTAAAAAACGAAAACGTTTAGCAAGCAAGAAAAAGAAACAAATGCCAACAAGACGTGTCAACAACGATGAAGATGAAGATGATTAATATTTCATTTGTTTTCTTTTTCTCAATCATTTTCTTTATTTAATTGTTCATGTTTGTTATACTGTAAGAGATCTTTGCTCTTACATATATATGCTCTTTTTTTTTATTGCATTCAACATCATTAAACATAATGCATATGCAAACAAACAAAAAATAAAACGTAAAATATTTATTTTTAGTTGATGTTCTATATAAATCAGTTCAAGAGCCTAATCATGATTTTACTATAAAGTTTTCCTTATCTCAGTTAAAAATACTTCATTCACATATGCAAAACAAAAACCATTCAAATTCATAAGACTTCTATTGATCATGAATCGATGCGGCAAAAAAAATTCATGGCATTTTTGTTTGTCTATATTAAACAAATTAGATAAATACACATATTTTTAGATTATTTTATAATCAATCATATTTCCATGCTAAATTATTATTATTATTATTATTAAAAAAAGAATAGAAAATAATCTATCTAAGACAAGGTTAAAATAATCAATCTATTGAGTATGTGTTCTAATATAAATCAATACAATTAAAGATTTGTTGATTACTTTTGAGCATCTTTTCCACAATAAATCTAAAATATTACAATAGATTTAGTGAAGAAACGTATCGAACAAAAGAGAATATAAAACTTACCATAACTTTAATGGCTTGTCCACTTTCAGCCATTTGAAAAGCTTGAACAGATTCTTTTATATTATATCGATGTGTTATCAATGGTTTAACGTCAATTCTACCAGATGCAATCAAACCTAATGCAGCTGGATAACAATTTGCATAACGAAATACACCACGAATATCAATTTCACGAACAGCAGCATTTACAATTGGTAACGATACTAATGGACGTCCAAGACCAACAAGAACTACAACACCACCTGATATTGTTGCCTATATTCGGAAAATAAAATAAAAATATTATATTTCTATTTTAATATTCAGCGAAATTAATTACATAGAATGTTGCTTGAATAGATGATTCAGCACCTGAACATTCAATTGATATACGTGGCATAGATCCAAGTGTTTCTATTACACGTTTAGCTGTTTTTTCGGCATCATTATCAGCAAGAACAACATGAGTAGCTCCAACTTTCTTTGCAAAGTCAAGTCGAGATTGACTAATATCTTTGTATTTTTTTAAATATAATACAATAAGATAAAAATGAAACAAAAAAAAAACTCTTACCCGTCATAATAATTGCATCAGCACCCATTGCTTTCGCTGCCAACATACTCACAAGACCAATTGGTCCTTGAAATATATATATATATATATAGATTTTATATTGCATATATATATTTATTATTAAATATTTACCAGCTCCAGTTATGAATACTGTTGATCCAATAGTAACACCAGCTCGACGACACGCATGAACACCAACACTCAATGGTTCACAAAATGCACCTTCTTCATATGTGACATGATCTGGTAATCTATTAAAGTATAATTTTCCAAAATAAAAAAATAACTACTCAGAAAAAAACCTCGATTTTACTTGAAACAAAAATCAGCAGCATGAGTATGATAACGTGCAATACTTCCGTGAACAGGTGGTGTTGCAAGAAAAACGACATCAGCACAAAGATTATAACGACCAGTTTTACAAAAATCACATCGGCGACATGGTACACCAGGTTCAATTGTAACACGATCACCTTTGAAATAAATATTTTTTAATTAAAAATCTTCAAGATTCATGTTCATGAATTACCTTCTTTAAGATGTTTTACATTTGGTCCAACTTTAATTACTTTGCCTGCACTTTCATGACCAAGAATCATAGGAGCACGAACAACAAAATCTCCGATGCAGCCCCTTTTCTATTAATAAATTTGTTATTTATGGAAATTAAAATAAGTAAAAAAAAAACTTAGCTATACCCAATAGTGTACATCGCTACCACAGATACCAACAGATTGCATTTCAAGTAATACTTCTATAAGATTGATAAGTGTTCAATGAAAAACGTCATATTATTAATGTTCAAATTACCTCCATCTTTTGGTTCATTGATTGGAACAGGTTCCTTAAAATAATGAGAAAATGAAGATGGAAATTTTCCTTTTTTTATTTTCAAACATCATACCAAACGAAGATCATCGATTTTATGAAGAACAAGAGCAATATTTTCGTCGAGTGCAGAAGTCATTTTAACCTAATATCTATCGTATGTTTATACTATTTTAACAACAAGTTAACCTTGTCCGTGCCTCTCTACAACAGAAAAAATCGAGTAGTTGCACGAAAAAGACGAATAATTAAAAGGCAAAAGAGGGCACATTGAGATAGGAGATTGGTTGTAATTGTTTTTTTCTTATCATAGACCTCGATAAGCACGCCTAGATCTTATTGAGAATTACGACGATCCTCAATGTTTATTTTTTTTCTCTTTTATTCCCGCTTATTACTACCGGTCAATTTTAAACCAATAAAAAAATATTGAAATCAATTCGAATCGTCTTTTTATTTTAAAAGATATTTTATGAATAAATTTCATTTAAGTTTTAATAATTCAGTTAAAAAACATGAATAAATTATGTTATAATATGATTTCGATTTAGCCTCCTCATTTTCAAATATCTATAAAATAATGTGATGTCCGACCAATGAAAATTCGTGGATAAAATTTGTCTGAGGACCCTGTTCAACGTGAAGAAATCAGTGCTTTTTGAAAAAAACCTATCATCGAAATCATCGTTTTAAAATAAAATGAGGTATAGTACAATATATCTGTGATATTACGTATAATTCGTTTATTTTTTTTTCCACATATTTAGTTCGCTCCGAGTACAAAAGCGGCTCGCTTCATCAATCTTAGCATGTGGTAACAAGAAAATTTGGCTTGATCCTAATGAAGCTAATGAAATTTCAAATGCTAATACCCGTAAGTTAGGTTCTTTTTTAAATTAAATATGAGATATATATTCCTTCAACAATCATCGATCGTTGATTGTAAGAATAATTTCTTTTTTACACATATAACATAGATCGATACACGGGAAGGATAAAATATAATTTTTTTTGTTTGTTTTATACTTTGTCGATTTTTCTATTTAATTGACAACAAACAAATGAAATGAACACAACTGATATACTTATTTTTTTTCCGATTGTAAATAAATTATTTAATTATTGTTTTTTTGTTTTAGGTCAAAGTGTACGTAAATTAATTAAAGATGGTCTAATTATTAAAAAACCAGTAGCAGTACATTCACGTTTTCGTACACGTAAAAATAATGAAGCTCGTCGTAAAGGTCGACATATGGGTCATGGTAAACGAAAAGGTACAGCTAATGCTCGTATGCCAGTAAAGGTTCGTTAAAAAATTACATAAGTTTTCTATTCTATTAATTATATATATATATATTTTTTTTTCTTTCTATTAGATTGTTTGGATTCGTCGTATGCGTGTATTACGTCGTTTATTGAAAAAATATCGTGCAGCTAAAAAAATTGATCGTCATTTGTATGTTATTTCTATGAAATGAAAAAGCACAAAAAAAATAAATAAATTTATTTATTTAATTAGGTATCATGAACTTTATTTAAAATGCAAGGGTAATGTTTTCAAAAACAAACGTGTATTAATGGAATTTATTCATAAGAAAAAAGCAGAAGTGCAACGTACAAAAATGCTTTCAGATCAAGCTGTTGCTCGTCGTGAACGTACTAAAGAAAAACGTATTCGTCGTGAACAACGTATTCTTCAAAAACGTACTGATCTTATGGGCAAACAACAAGAAGATGATGATACAAATGTTGCCGTTCAACAAGCTATTGAACAACAAGTTCAAACACCTGTTGTTGCTCCAACATCAAAATCACAGCAACAACAAGCACCAACTAAGACTGTTGTTAAACAAGACAAGAAACAAGAAAAACAACCGCAACAACAACAACAAACACAACAAAAGAAGAAGTAAATTTTTTAAAAAAGATGAACATTGGACACAACTAACATTCAATGTGTCTAATATCTCATTTTTCCATCGTCGTATTTATCGAATGATGTTTTTCATTGCCATTTGTTTATTTACAATAAATAAAAATTAGCAATCGCAGTATATATATATATATACATGTTACTCGCATTACATATGAAGAAAATTTATTTTTCGAACTTAAAATAGACAATAACTGTTCTTTGCTGTTATTTATTCGGAAATTTAACGATATACAATCTTAGTTTTCCTAGTAGATTATAAAATATATAGAGATAATGTATGATTATATCTGCGATTTCTAATTTATCTTTTTGTTATAAATGTAGAAAAAGTCATATTTCGAATGAAATGACAATAAATAACTAAACCATTGATTGCCTGCAATCTGATTATGACTAAAAGATGTAGTAGAAAACTCGAAAACAACGAGAATATCTTTCCAATAAGTAATGTACTTTAGAATACATCATCAATCATTTTATAAACTAAGTATGAAGAAAAATAGAAAACTCGATAAAATATTTTTGTTAAATCGTTTTTACTATTCTTCAATAGAATTTATTTTTCGATGTGATCGGGTTCATGTGCAGATTTTCTTTAGAAAAAAATAATTAAGTTTTCTAAATTGAGAAAAAAAAGATTATTATAACGAGTGATTGGAAAACTCTTTGACAAAATGTTGAAGGATGAAATATATTTTCCACGGTTTTGTTTTGAAAACAACTGATCATCATAAATGTGCTTAGCCTATGCTTGAACAGAATAATAATTTGAAAAAAAAGTAATTTAGTAAAACATTATGAAATTGATCTAACAACTGAAAATCTTCCAAGGAATGGTTGTTCAATATCAAGTGATAGGAAAAAACTGAAGGATTTGCAAAATAATGCTACAAATCGAATTGGTATCAATCAATGAAAACTAGTAAAAAAAAAACTTGATATTTCACAATCAACTATTCACTATAATTGAGAGAAACTACGATGTAAGTTAAGTTAGCACGGTATTCAAGTTTTTCTCGTCCGAATTAATCTCTTAACTTTCGT